GCGCACGCTCCGGAATGCGTTCGTGAGGGGCGGGGGGGGGGGGGGCAGGGACGGCGGCTTGAGAGTCACGAAACGCGCGGGGCTTGGGCGCTGGTCGGTAGTTTATTGGGACGGTTCGCATGAATGGCAACGTTTTAAGTGAGCGCGATTGACATGCCATTGCGGTGGATGTTGCCTGCTTGTAGGCCTTTCTCAAAAATCGCCACCTGGGTGACAAAGGATAGCCCACCCATGTATCTTGGAACTGGTACTAAGTAAGGAAGAACGTCTGCTACACAGCCACACCAATGCGATAGTAAAGCCGTAGTTGCCTGTCTCATCAACACAGCACCTACACACTTTAGTGGTGCAGCGAGAGAAAGCCCACTCAGGCTAGTTCTGCACGCTTGCGATAGGTTTGGCAGCAGCAGCATCAACAGCGGGGTGGCTTCGGGCCGTGTTCAGTGTGCGTCGGTGTCGGGCTCGAGTATAACGTTTGGCGGTGGACGAGCCATATCATTTATTTTGTTTTAGCTGGTTAAAAGGCTCAGGCACTCCTGAAATATGTCATTCCGTCAGCATCGTTGAAGGGCAAAATCACGGCTTGCTGCTCGGCTCTGGCGTTTGCCGATAGTGTCCGGCAGGGACGTTGTCCCGTCTGAGGTGAACTGATGGTAGCAGCAGGGCAATATGGCTAAAAAGGGCATTTCGTCAAGCTTGAGGTGTCTCCTCCTTATCTACGAGAGACACTCGTGAGGTGCGGCGAGAGGCTCGTGACCTTGCAGATCCCGAGAGTTCGTGAGGACTCTTGGGACATTGCAGAAATGACATTGAGCGTGTACAAGGTCTCCGGGCTTGCAAAGAGCGCTCTCCGTGTGGAGAACTGCATGGATTTCCTTTGATCCTGAAAGCGGCCCCTGAACTGCCGAGAGCCCTGGAGCGACAACAGAGACTCAGTTACCCAGTTCGGAATGCTACTCCATGCCAGTGGTATTACATTTGCATTTGCATTTGTATTTGTACTGTCCTAGAGCAATCCACACGAACACGTGGCTATTTTTACCCAGTCATGGTACAAGGTGAACACACGCGCTCGCCCATTTCGTGCAGCTCGAGTCAATGGATACAAGGAAATACAGAAATCAGGCTAGTCTTTAGGTATTCAGTCACCTACGACTGCCAGCCAGCAGCAGATGTTTCATATCACGGGCAAAACACTGCGATGGCGCGACTTGAATTGGTCTGCCAGCCCGTCGTAAGGGGCGGAGCACGGTGCGCGACCCGTTTCCTCTCAGCCTCAGTCCAGCCCGCCTCTTCCCAGCCTCAGTCCAGTCCGCCTCTTCCCACCTCGTTACAACGGGCTCCTCCCACACGGTCCAGCCCGCCTCTTCCCAGCCTCGTACAGCCGCTCCTCCAGCCTCGGTCCGCGGCTCAGGGAGGTGCAGCAGCCTGTCCTGCCTGGTCTCGCCCTCATGTCGTGGTTGTTTCGGTTGACGCCCAGCTTGGAGACCAGACTCGGAACGCCAAGAAGGCTCTCCGTTAAGCCCGATGCTCTGCCGTTTAAAATACGGATATGTCTAAATCGAACTAAGCCTCGCCATCCTGCGAAAAAAGACCTAACGACCTCCGATGCAATTTTAATTCCACGTTTTAAACGAGACACCAGACTCTCGGAGAGTCTCTGGTGTCTCCAGAAGATCTCTCGCTAGGGTATGCAAATTGTAAACGGCTCCCCATTAGTCTCAGAAAGGGTCCTAGAGCCATACAACTATCATGTCGATGTGCGAAGAGGGCACTCAGTCTGCAGAAGCCACACAAGCTGCAGGAGCTCCTGACGACCCGCCTGTCAGCACTTTGTCATCCGGGGACCTCGGGCTTTTAAAATCTAACGAACGCAAGTTGGTTGTTGGAGGGCTCTCAACGCTCATCTACGATCCGTCGCCAGTAGGTACGAACGCATCGAGAAAGGTTCCATGATTGTTGCAGTCATTTTGTTTGCCAGCTCCATAATTACAAACTGTCCTTGTTCTTTTGAGAACAGTGGTGAAAGCCCCTGATGTTTCCAGGCTGCCGTTACTCTGTTATTCTGGTTTCGTTGTTAACTTGCTGGACGTCGACCTGCACTATGTGGTTTAACACTGAATGCCAGTGGAGTCTTATCCTCGTTGGTCTTCTGAGCTGACCTTCAGTTAGCATTGCAGATATCCATTGGAATGAGGCCCGACGCCGATGCCTTCACGAAGATAGCTGTTGTAGATTCTGACGGGTAACGTGACCATTGCACTAAGCCAATAGTTGACACGCTTCCCGGACACCGAGCAACAGGACAACGGGAGGTACGCAGATCTCAGTGTACACCTACCATCATGTTCAGAACTAGAGGGAAAAGAAACACCGAACAAAAGCTCAGAGGAGCGGAACGCGGACGGACCCAGTCGCTGAGATGGCCGCTTCCGCCGCGGCTGGACGAGCGCTGTGTTTTTCGACGCCGGCGTGACGCCCTCGAGCTCCGCGAGCAGCTGGCCGTGGCATCGATCGTCCCAAGCCGGCGACTTCAACCGCTGGCCGGGGTAATTGGCCTGCGTCCGGGCGCACAATGCCGTCGCCCGATACGACGGCATCTGCCGCCGGCGTCGGCGGCGCGTCCGCTGTCGCCGAATCCGATCGATGCCGCCTCGTGAGGCTTGGGCTTCTGTCAGGCAGGTTGCCAGCCCGGCGAGCGGTGAAAGCGTGATGTCCACACGAAGGGCTTGCTACGGCGCTGGGTTGCGGGGAACCTCCGCTGACCGGCGGGGATGCCTTTCTGGCGTTGACTTGCAGTGGAGGTGGTTCTCCGTAAGTGGTGCAAATCAGTTCGCCCAGAGCGTGACTTGTTGGTTCGTGAGTCCGCGGCGACAGGGCGGCAATTTAAACTTTCCGCTGCGGGATGTTTCTAAAACTCCACTGGCGGGCCTCATTAATGCTCGTGGCACGCTTCCACGCAGCACCGTAAGTTCCACGTTAACCGCGCTTTTAACCGGAACAAGCTCTTTTAAAGAGATGAGGCGCGTTCCGGTAGAAACGATGCGAACGATTCTCGCACTAGCGCGTTCCCGCGCAGCGTTAACCAAACGCATGTTTCAATCATTAGTACGTATAAATCACCTTCCGGTTTAACGGATTCCGCCGTTTGGCTCAAGAATGGCATGCTGTTGGTCATTGCTGCAACAAATAACGGATTAAGGTAGAACGATTTTATGTCACCTGCCAAGCGCCCAAACTCTGGTGTCCAACGAAAGAGTTTTCCAAAACAGAATTGAAGAACACCGAGCGCCACGTAGCAGCGCCTCCGCTGAACCAGGTCGGACACATTGGGACCGGGCCTGACATGCGGGGGCCGGCTGGCCCGCTCCTGCCGAAGGACGCGGGTGCCAGGCGATTAAGCTGTTTCACGACTTTACAGCCGGCCGCCGACCGACAATGGTTCCAGCAGCTGGCTTACAGGCTGGGCCACCGCTGTGTCCGTGCTAGACGCTGCGTCTGGCGCTCGTGATTGCTTTAATGCTGTTGCAGGCTATTTCGGCTCGCGTAAATTGGCCGCCTGTAGAGTTTCCTGGAGTTGCTGTAGTTTTTCAGCGTGTGCGCCGGGGGTTCCGCCTGCGTCGCAAAACTTGCAGCAACATGTCTATTCTGATGACGCGCTCGGTTATCAGCCGTAGCCTGTCCAGTCGTCTGAATGGCGACGTAAGTGCCCGGATATCGAGCTGGTGCGCCCGGAGAGAGAAGGTGCGCGTGGTGCTGGTGCGCCCCGGGAGATAAGCGATGGTGCGCCCGGACAGGGAAGGTGCGCGTGGTGCTGGTGCGCCCCGGAGAGAGAGATGCGCGTGGTGCTGGTGCGCCCGGAGAGAGAAGGTGCGCGTGGTGCTGGTGCGCCCCGGACAGAGAAGGTTAGAAGGTGCGCGTGGTGCTGGTGCGCCCCGGACAGAGAAGGTGCGCTTGGTGCTGTTGCGCCCCGGACAGGAAGGTGGTGTGGTGCTGGTGCGCCCCGGACAGAGAAGGTAGAAGGTGGCGTGGTGCTGGTGCGCCCGGACAGAGAAGGTAGAAGGGCGCGTGGTGCTGGTGCGCCCCGGAGAGAGAAGATGCGCGTGGTGCTGGTGCGCCCGGACAGAGAGGTAGAAGGTGCGGGGTGCTGGTGCGCCCCGGACAGAGAAGTGCGCTTGGTGCTGGTGCGCCCCGGACAGGGAAGGTGCGTGTGGTGCTGGTGCGCCCCGAGAGAGAAGGTGCGCGTGGTGCGGTGCGCCCCAGACAGGCTAAGAAACGCGTGCGCGTGATCAGACTCGGCATACTTTTTATACGGAGTGACGGGATTGGCGTGCGAGTGGCGCCGTCGGAATGCCAGTGTCGTTTTGTGTGCGACGCTGCGAGACAAAGGAGCAGTGACGTCGCGTGCAATGGGCCACCTGGCCAATCCACGCTCACTCCCACAGCCCCTCCCACTGACGCTTCCACGCCTCCACTCCCACACCTTGCCGCGCGTCATGGCGGCCAGTCCCACACCGCGTCACGTTCCATGGCGCTGACCGCCGTCGTCCGTTCGCATGGCGCTGCCCGCCATCGTCCGTTCGCATGGCGCTGACTTCCGTCGTCCGTTCGCATGGCGCTGCCCGCCATCGTCCGTTCGCATGGCGCTGTGGCGCTGACCGTCGTCGTCCGTTCGCATGGCGCTGACTGCCGTCTTCCGTTCGCAGTGGATGAACTCCCGGCTGGGTCACCTGTACCAGCCGTTCAACATCCGGCTGTTCCACCTGGCGCTGGTCGGCCTGCTGATCGTCGCTGCTTCTTCCTGGTGCCGGCGGCCGTCTTCAGTCGCGTGGAGGACGGCTGGAGCTTCCTCGACTCGCTCTACTACTGCTTCATCTCGCTGACCACGGTCGGCCTGTGCGACTACATCCTGGCGACCGGCCCGGCCAGGAGTACAGGCCCCTGTACAAGGTTGGCTATCACGGGTGAGTGGCGCTGGGGCACGGTCAGAGATCAGAGGTCAGAGGTGACTATGAGGCCATCGGTGCAATGCGGGGCGCTGGGTGGGGGCCATGTCGTACCAGTGTGAGGAAGACCGTGACGCTACCACGCTACACGTGACATGAGTATGAGTACACATGAACAACGCATGCAGAGTATGAGGGACGAGAATGTAGACGAAAGTAGAATTTAGAGACGGTGATTTTCGTAGGTTCTGGAAATTGACGTCATTTTCGTCTACCTCTGCTTAAGCTTGGAGGATTTCTTTTGAGGGCTCCTCACGACCAACGTCCTCAGAATGGAAGGTTTAATTAGGACTTCAAGTACCACTCAGCAAACATTGGTCCGGGCTGTTTCGTCTCTGAAGATTGTCTTTGTGTAGTGCCCGTACCAGCCGACGTCGAATCAATTTGGCCGGGGCGAGCAAGACTTTAATTATGTGGACGAATCTTGAGCCAGACTTTTCTTAGCACACCAGCGGGTGAAGTGATGCGACAGCGATCTAACGCCTCAGCATTATGAGTAGTACACATCATGCATTTCACATCCAGCCGTATGCTATGCGCCCGGCTGACTTTCAACGACCTGGGGGGGGGGGGGGGGGGAGGGGCAACACGAGCGGCACAGAGCTCCTCCTGACGACTGGCGTGTTGCTTTCGTTTGCGGCGCCCCGCGGGGCCATAACTGGTATGGTGTCGGCCCCATGCGCCATGGCACTGCTGTGGAGTCGGCCCCATGTGCCATGGCACCGCTGGTGGCGTCGGCCCCATGCGCCATGGCACTGCTGGTGGCGTCGGCCCCATGTGCCATGACACCGCTGATGGCGTCGGCCCCATGCGCCATGGCACGCTGGTGGCGTCGGCCCCATGTGCCATGGCACGCTGGTGGCGTCGGCCCCATGCGCCATGACATGCTGATGGCGTCGGCCCCATGCGCATGACACTGCTGTGGCGCCCCCATGCGCCATGACACGCTGGTGGCGTCGGCCCCATGCCATGACACTGCTGATGGCGCCGGCCCCATGCGACATGACACTGCTGATGGCGCCGTCCCCATGCGACATGACACTGCTGTGGCGTCGCCCCATGCGCCATGACCTGCTGATGGCGCCGTCCCCATGCGACATGACACTGCTGATGGCGTCGGCCCCATGCGCCATGGCACTGTTGGTGACGTCGGCCCATGTGCCATGACACCGCTGATGGCGTCGGCCCCATGCCCCATGACACTGCTAATGGCGTCGGCCCCATGCGATACCATCTGTCGACGCGTCATGAAACAATAATCGAATAGAGCCAAATTAGATAGCGCAATCACTCACACATGCCGGTCGCCGAGTCCAGGTACTAACGTCGATGATGGTCGGCGGTGATGGTGATTGCGGTGCTGTGGGGTCGGCAGCTGCTCGGGTCATTTCACGACTGCCTTCGTGGCGTCATCCCCCGGTCAAGTTTCCGGCTGTGAAGGTCAATGGTTCCCATTGCCCGCGCATCATGTCCAGCGGCAGTGAAAATATTTGGCTGTCGGTGGGGTTAGAAGTCGTGTGCTGAATCCGCTTGCCGGAGTCTGCAAACATTCTTTTTGAGCTATTTGGACGCATATGAACAAAGCACTATAAACGTTGTGCTAACGAGATTGAATGAAAAAATAGCGTTGACTCGTCACTTGTGCAAAATCTGTGATTAAGAGTGATCCAGCCATGGTCCATTTGACAGATGGTCTAGCCATAGCCATCGTATTCAGATGGCCGAAGGCTTTGTTCATTAAGTTTTGATCAAGGTGGTCTACAGGATCGGTATGTGTGAAAGTGATTGTAGTGCTCGGTGAGGGTGACACCTTTATGCCAGGTACTTGTCGACAACTTTACGACGTCGCTGATGAAGATGATGTCCCGCTCCTATACCACATACAAGTCCAGCAGACGGAGCCTGACGATAGTAACCAGACGCGCCGCTCTCCCCCGCCGGCTGCCCCGATGACGCCGCCGTCTCCTCCGCAGGCTACCTGCTGGTCGGCCTGGTGATGATGATGTGGTTCCTGACGGTGTTCGCCGAGATCCCACAGCTCAACTTCGGCATCATGTTCCTGCACCAGTCGGACGAGGGCACCTCCGACCCGGAGAAGATGCGCCTCTCGGGCGCCGGCGCCGGGCCCAAGTACACGCAACAGGTATGGCTGGCGGCGCGCCGGTGGCCGCCCTCCCGCCCGCCGTCCGGCCGCGGCGGAGCGACCCACCAGGTCGATGGGGAAGTGTGGCGCCGTGCGGTGGGTGGGTGGCCGGGAGAGGGGCCGTGTGGCGGGGGGGCGCCTGGAGTGGGGCCGGGTGGCAGGCGGGCGCCTGGGGCCGGGCCGTGTGGCGGCTGGGGCCGGGCCGTGGGCCGGGCCGTGTGGCCTGGAGTGGGGCCGGGTGGCAGGCGGGCGCCTGAGGCCGGGCCGTGTGGCGGGCGGGGTGCTTGGAGTGGGGGCCGTGTGGCGGGCGGGGCGCCTGGAGTGGCGCGGGAAGCGTCTCGCGGCTAATAACGCGGTGTCTCGTGAGATGCTGGGCGTTCTTAGCTACCGTAGGCGTTCTTTGGTAAATGCTGTGGCGACCGTGCGCTCGTCTGGACTCAGAGCAGGAAAACGCCGCCGAATGGAATACCCTCGGGCCGAGCGGCGTCTCCACCACGACCGACATTTCGCGTACAGATCGCTGCAGACTCGTTGACCCGTCGCTCAGATTATGGTCGACGCGTGACATTTTACGGCTGTTCCGCCTCAAGAAGTCGGGTTTAACATGAACTCCACGCGAAATAGGAGCGCGCCGGCAATTTTACATGCCGCCGACTCTTGCTTAAAGGGACGCCGCCAGGCGATGTCCATGCTGACATTTTCGTGAAAGGGCTTTCTCAAAGATCGTGAAACCCAGCCGATGCCATTTTCGAGAGATTGAGGTCAAACCTTCTTCCGACGGGTCTGCGGAAATCAAAGTGTCGCAGACACTGTGTTCCTTCCGCTTGAAGTGAGGTGAGCTCCAAGCCGCTGCCACCGTGTGTCCAGGGGCTCGTGGCATGCTCACATCTTCGAGAGCAGCTGGGCCAGTGCGTCATTGATTGATCCTGCTGTTCGACGGAACGGTGGTATTTTCCATCCGGTAGATTTTCGTGGCATCTCAAAGCACTCAGGTTGGCATCATCACTCACTTCCTTTTTTCGAGGTAATTTTGAACGAGTCTCCCCGCTGCCTTTGGCTCGTACTCCCGGTACGTTGTTTGTTTTCCCAATGTTGTACACAATCACTGGATTCTGGCCCAAAATGGCGAACAGTGTTATGACCAGAAGACATAAAAACAGATCTTTTTTTGCCTTAGGCTCGTTTTTGTGGCATTCATTGGCGTGATGCTTGGAATTCTCTCCTGCGCCCGACTTGGGTTGCTTTGCATTAGTGCTGGACGTGATGTCTTAGCCTCTAATCACGCGACGCAGACTTTTTGTGTCGTTGAATTAACGCGTAGCGTGTGTCAATTCTCTTGACTGCTGTTTATTCGGAAACGTATTTCGTCATTCCAGACCTTCTCAAAACAACGCTGGGGTGGATTTCATAACATCGTACAGTTACAAATGTTAAATCGCTGACTCGCACTTTCTTACACCCTACCTTGACAGCACATTCGACTCCCTCATCAACAGATTTTTCACTCCGCCTCCCTCGTCTGGTTGCATCCGACGACCTTCCGCAGCTGCAGCCAGTGTCGAGCGGAGGGCAGCTGGCCCTGTTGCGGTCGCCGTCGGCTTGCCGGCGCCTGTCGGCCTGTGAACCCAGGCCTCCGCTGGCCCGCTCTCCCCAGCCATTCGTAGTCTGCGGGAGCACGGCCCGCCGTCGGCGCCGGCGTTATGCTGATTGACCCGTGCTGATGCTGACCGGAGGGCCGACGCCTCCCGGCTCCGGCGGCGATGGCGCGGCGGGGCGGAAATTGGCGCGGAACCGATGGCCCCGGGCGCCGCCTGCGCCCCCCCCCCCCCCACACACACAGCCGCTCCTGGTCGTCTGGGTCCCCCCAGCAAACGTCTCCCGCGAACGCGCCGACGAATGATCCGGCGGCGTCTCCCGCCACTGTACCGACTCCGGCGCCCAGCGGGACGGTTGTCGCTGATGTCCGCGCGCTCGTCTGGGGCGTGACGGAGAGAGACGCATCGGCATCATGGGGGAACGTGGGGTGAGAAGAAGTAGGGTGTCGCGGGCGATATGCAGGCACGGGGAGACGCCGCGGGGTAGCATGGTGCTCGCTGGTGTTGTTCATGCTTACATACACTCCCCATGATATTTGGTTGGTGTAAGATTATGCAATACTGGAAAGAAAACGTGTTATGTGACGGACATGCACTGAGTGAAATTTTGCGAAAGAATGAAAGGAAATGGTGCTAGTTGACATGCCAACTTAAAGAGAAAGAGTTGAACATTCCGATTTGTACGTTAGCACTATTTTAAAACTTGCAACGCTTGATCTAGCCAGACTCCGGCTTTTATCACGTCACTTTATAAGCAGCAAGCGTGCTTTGTTTTGTTGAGTAGTCATGAATGGCTTTACGCCTGAGATTTTCTCACCATCGGCCCACGAAGTCTGGGAAATTAGCCGAGATGGGCAGTGCTTCGCTTTGTATCGAACCACATATATCGTGGTCCCTCACGAGCCACTTAGCAAATTGCGCTCTGGCACTCAGGTTCCGATAAATGGCTTCGTGCTCTGCTTTAAGCGAGCTATTGAAAAGGATGGGTTGGTGAATCTAGTCTCGGGGTTGAGAATTAGACTTCAGACTTGGCGGAGTGTTTTTCTAGTTTTCTTTTCAATCCTGTCGGGATGGCAAAATGTCTGCACCAACAACAGATGTTTTGACTCATTTGTTAGCTTTCTGTACTTCCGAGGGTTAGCCAAATATTTCCGCTGACTTGATCACCATAGCGCTAAGTCAACCCAACGGCCTATATCATGGCCTAAATTGTATGCAATTATGTCAGCATCACCAACGCATGTTGCAATCATGATGCATCACCAACGCATTGCCGATGCCTCAATTCATAAGTTTTATTCTATTGTCTTGTAGTTCTCTAGCATTGATCATCGTTATGCAGGAGCAATAAATGCATGAGCCCGTGAGCATTATTACGTTGTCTCGGTTTGTTCAGATTGAGATGGCCGACGGATGGCGAATCGCCCACCAATCCCAGGCCTGATTCGGGTGCCCACGCCGAACTTAAGACCTGTTCTAAGCCGCTTGGCAAACTGAGGAAGCTTTGGATATTTGATATTTGCAACCAGATATTTGAGGACTCCTGCCAATTGCCGGCCCACACGGGCGTGTCAAGACAGAGTTTGGGAGATGATAGGTCAGTCTTATGTGATCACTTTTTTACAAGTCTGCTAGTCGCTACGCTAAATGCACAAATACCAGCCATCAGTCGCATCACAGTTATCATCCGTGAGATATCACGAAGGCATCTTGACTGTATCGACCTTCTTCAGATAGCCATGCATTAGGATTTAACAGTGGATGCAAAATGAACACATGGATTGTAATCCATCTTCCCGAGAGGGTTTATGGACAGGATTGCAATGTTGCGTACAGGAAGTGATTGCAAATTGTGCAAGGATATTTTAGAACATGATTTCACGCATCGCCTCCCAGTCTTAACGCTTAAGCTCGTGTGATGCCGGCAATGAGAACTACCATGAAGTGCAGGTGTGCTGTGCCCACCAGAGCTCATTGTACGGCACCTAGTTGTTTAAACGCAGCACTTTATGCCAGACACATAACAGCTTCCGTGGCGGAACACAGGGGCTTTTCGTAAGGTCAGATCCCATCTTTGCGCTGTACGCTGCTATGAACGCACGGTGCGTGACACCGAAGATGAGCCGGGGCTGGATATGCCTGGGCGGAACTGTCCTATTGGCTCGTCCTGAGGCGACGTGTCATGTTACACTGAGGCGACGTTTCGTGTCACAATTTTGCTGACAGGTTTTGATGGATCGGCCGAACAGTACGGTTGTTACTGACTATTGGTGATGGGCTTCCGCTCAATATTTCAGTATCGCGCGGACGAGTTTTTCCACCGTCGATAGCAAGGGGCTTTAAATACATTTTATTTCTATTCCTAATGGTTGAAGCATGCCTCTGACGCGCACAACTCCTTTAGATGGACTGCTGAAAGGTCAAGCACCTCACATTTTATCCAGTTTTCCATACTAAAGCGGGTTTTGGAGCGTGGGCCATCAAACGAGCTGGTGAGTGCTTCAGTCGATGACCGGCTACAGGCCCGGAGGGCCGTTTATCAGCCTCCGGGGGGTGGTGGCTGGGCCGGTGGACACCCGCCGAGGGTTGAGAGAGGCCCGGAGGCTGCCCATCAGCCCCCAGGGATGGCGGCGGGCCGGTGGACCCTCCAGCGTGGGGTCTAGCCGGGGTGGTGGTAGAGCCGGTGGAACCTCTAGCCTGGGTCGAGGCGGGGGGGGAGGCGTTGGCAGGGCCGGTGGAGCCCCCAGTGTGGGTCGAGCCGGGTGGTGGCGGGGCCGGTGGAGCCCCCAGTGAGGGTCGACGGTCGTCTGGCTCCACTCTCGCGTGCTCGCAGTAGACCCTGCCGTTAGACTGTCGCTCGAATCTGAGACCGACGGTTTGTTTGGAGCTGTGGGCTGGACGGCTGCGGTCTGAGATGCTCACGCGTGGTAACGCGAGGTTTTTGTGAGACAACTCTGCACCGCCCTGCCGTTTTGTTGTGAGGTTCCATTCACGGCTTATTACATGCCAACTGAAAGGAATTATATATATATATATATATATATATATATATATATATATATATACATATATGCACATACATACATATAACCACTTAACTGCTAAATTTGTCAGCACTTTGCTTAATGAATTACACTGTATGCAACACATCACATTGTATGTCTAGAGGATATGTGACCGTTGGTCATGCAGTCCTGCTCTAGGCGAGGCCAGGGGGAGAGCTGGTGTCTCCAAACGAGCCTCCGTCTGCATTCCTGGCCAAACACTGACGTTCGCCCGCCTGTTACAGATGGAGAACCACGTGAAGGCGAGCAGTCGGGCCGGTAGAGGAGACACCCAGCCCCGAGGAGACCACACCAGTGCACGCGAGGCAGAAGTGATGCAGTCTACCTTGCTGCTGTCGCTCCCGCGGCCATTTCGGCAAGGCCCGGCCAGCCGCGCAGCTTCGAAAGCCGGCCGATAGGTGGCAGCCCGGTCGCCCGTCGGCAGCCGGCCACTTCAGCTGAGCTGACGCGGACGTTGGAGAATATTGTCGCCGCACGCAGAAGAGCTCCAGAGTGGAGCCGTGGAGCGCGTGTCTTGCTTTAGCGGCGGGCGCGTGTCGTCGGTAACATCGCTGGGAGGCGGCGCGCACGAGACTGCTGTCTGAAGCCCGTCTGACTGCTGTCTGCTGTCTGAAGCCCACGCGGCCGTCTGGGTCTCGTTGGCTGTGCGCCAGCGTGCGAGACGACCTAGCATCATCCTGCCGCGGCGATGGGCGAGGTCTGCCGACCCGGTTGGGGGCGGGGCAGCCTCAAAGTCACGTGATTGCCAGCGCGGCGGAATAAGCTGACCATTTTCGGTGCTGCGGGTCGTCCGACATTTGAGACGGAAATAAGCGTAGCGTTCGCCGGGGTCGGCTTGCAGGCCGCGGGTCACTACGTGCGTTAGCAGGTTAGCGGTCTCTTTTTACGAACATTCTTCGCGTGGACTGTCTTTCAATCTTATAGCTCGCAGTCCTGTTGACGTTAGAGCAAGAGAATGCACCGGTTAGCGTTCTTTCACGTTAACAAGTATCTCAACTCAGTGATTTCATGAGGTCTTGTATGGTTTATTTTTGAACCGATTAGCTGTCTAAACGACGAATATTTCAGATGTTACTGACAAGAGGCACAACGAGATTGCTACATTTTGCAAACTACTCACAGGCGTGTTTTTCGCTCACCAGTATATAATATTTGCGGTAAGACCGCCGGCGTGATATTCTCGACGCCACGAGGGGACCCACCTTAGTTGACCGAGGCCACGTGTTAGCGCTTGGCGTCCCAAGGGCGGACTTTGCTCGAGACACTGCGGCAACCCGCCGGCATTGCTCCCCGCCAGGGTCCTGCGCGCTGTCACGTGGTTGCGAGAGTTGTTGCCGAGAGCTGCCGGAGCGCGGCCAGCGGCTCCGGTCGGTCTGGCACCGCGCCATGCGTGCGCGCGTGTAACACACCATGTGTGCGTGCCATGAGCGGCGAACACCAGCGACAGGTGGAACGTGTAGAGCTAGACTTTCAACATCGTTAGTTCGGATGCATGTCAGTATCGTATCGTGACTTCGCCACTACGTAAGGCAAGCTAGCCCACGCGCTGTTGCGCATGTGGAGCAGCTGGTGAACGGATCCGGGCAGCGCGCGGGGCTCTCTCGCCTGGACAATGAGGCCCGACCCCCGCCGCCCCGTCTTCTCAGCACGGCCCGCATTGCCGGCTGGAAAGTCAGGGCCCGCTCCTCGCGACCCGCACGCCGGTTGGCTGCAGTCACGTGACGTTGTCCTGTGACTGATGGAGCCGGGCGGTGTGTACGTAGGTGGCAGGCTGGATGTTGCTGTTTTGTTACTCGCGTGGGATCATCGTGTGCGCTCCTTATACGGTAGTGGTGTTAATATTGCGGTTTGGTGTTTGAACAGGGAGTTTGAGGGGTCTGTTCCCCAGTCATGTACGGCGTTTCATGTCTGTGCTGACAGCTGTTTCCCTTGTAATGCGTTGTTTCTTGGTCAGCTGGCTGAGGGGCAGGACTTTTTATATGTTTATTTACACTAAGAACTCGTCACAGTTCATGTGTGTGGACGTAGATTGTTCTTTTCAGCATCTCTCGAGCTGTTTTAATATTCTGGTCTTCGTGTGAGTATCCGATTGTCTATAAACTGACTCGAATCTGTGTTTAATTTTCTGTGAAACTCGGCCCAAAATGCGACAAACCATAGGTTTCTGTATCCTGACCATCTTTGCGCAAATGCCTGTTGACCTTGCCAAGGTCGTGGTTCGCATCAGTACGACATCACGGCAGCATTATTAGTATCAAAGCTATTAGAAAAGGCTACGCATACGTGACGCCACCATGGGAGTGAAGTTTGGAAGCCCGCATTAAGGTTTTTGGTTGAAACTACGACAAGGCTGGTAGATACTAGTCACATGATTAAAAACCGTGATTTCGCAATTGAATTGGATGGCAGACCTGTTCTACATCTTTATTTCAATGTTATGTGAATGTATATAATAATTTTCATTTCAAACCTTCTATAGGCAAATCAATACTAGGATCTGACTGCAAAGGTAAATCCTACTAAACCACATTTTCTAGTTGCAGCACCCGCGCCATATTCGTCGAGGCCAACGCGCGTTAATATCTATATGTAATGCGTTTTGTAGAAGGAATATTTATATATATATATATATATATATATATATATATATATATATATATAATGTGTAATATTTACATCCACTAAATTAATGGGCACTGATAGCGCATGTATTTTTGCACCGCAGTACGTACATGGAGTGAAACGTGAAAATAAGGGCAGTGATGAGAGCAGGGCAGAAAATGAGAAGGGCAGGTAACAAGAATTTCGCTTTCGCTGTGCTACGATCTCCCCAGGTGTTGATTAGCTTGCAGATCTATCATGCTGGATGGATTAGATAAAAATGACGCGCAGAGAATTATACCCTAACCACGCTAAAATACCTCTGTTAGACTATTTTGGATCTGAGATATCGACCTCGACTGTTGCCGGAAATCGGCCCATTTTGCAGGAAAATTCTGCTTATTTGAACTGAACTGGCACGCGCTTTATTTAAGCCCCGGGGTTCACCACTCACTAACCTCATAAGAGCAGGCCAATCCTGCATCCACCCTGACAACGCTCACCCTAAGGCTACAGGACGTGCATTCCAACTTCTCAATACGCGTCCGAGGGTGCTGTGAGCCCATCTGGCCTGCCGTATCTCATTTCCGTCCTATGTTGTTGTTGTACGTTGTACTCTTTCACACAGATTGTTTCTAAGCGGGTCCGGCTAGAGTTCTTTAAGATAAATCACTGGTGAATGCGCGACGCCATCTGTCTGTCGGGGGCAGGCTAGAAGCGCATTTCAGCAATATTTGTGTGGCTATGTTGCAAACCAGCGCCATTTTCCAGCTGTTAATGTTTTATTGAACGTGTTAGGTAAAAAAATGATTAGGTTTATGTACATATATATACTTGAATTAGCCCGCAAAAACAGCGTTTTCACCCTGCCATACCATTGGTGCCATATGGCTTAGTCCCATGATGACTTAACGGCATCGCTACACAGAATGCAATAATTCGGGGCTTGATCAGTATCCCTCCACATTGAGCCGCTTGTGCGTATGGACAGAATATTGGAGGCACGTGAATAAAAACGTCAACCATATTCCTGCCGTAGGCATATCAGCTGCTTTTACCATGCATCTGTTTGCATTCGGAATGTTTTTTATGACGTATATTTTAACGCACATTTGGAACGCGCGTTGAACGAACGCGTGCCTCGTTGTCGAAATTAACTAGCGGCAAACCTTCGGAGTAGCGCGGTGTAACAACATGAATGTCGCATTGGACCAAGAGCGATGTTTGGTTGGATATTCGTATGACGACGCAAAGTTCGGCCATATTCACATCGCATGGCAGGCAGTGTTCAAATGCCCGGAAATGCCGTACAGCTCGCAGACGGTCACGATAGTGAGTCAAACTTTGTGATGATGTGACAAACGAGAGCGGCGTTTTAGTCTGACCTGGTAGAAGAATCTTTGCCACTGACTTCCATTTCTGCATGCCTTGTCAACAGGCAATAGCCGAAACATCGTATGGAACGGACGAAATGCGGAAATCTGTCAACAGACAGTAGCCGAAGCACCTTGTGGAACAACAGAAATGCAGACATTTGCCAACAGACAATAGGGGGCATCACGTGTAATATAAGAATACATAAATTTCAATTGCTTACTAAAGAATAGAATTGAAGCCCCGGCAAGGTACTCGACAGGACAGGTTGGTTCAAGGTTTTCTGGTGTTGAAAGGTGCGTTGTGGGATACGAATTTACAGCTCGTTTGAGGAAAAATGAACTGTGGAGCGTTTTCTATTGCCTTTAAATCAATTTTCATCCCTTTGTCCTTTATTTTGCTCGTATAGCGGAGCCTTAACAAGTAGCTCTCACATACGGGTCGGGTGGAACCGCCCATCTCGCTTGGTATCGACGACATGAATCAATTGCTTATTGAACTTTTGAGAGTGACCAACCAAATAAAACGATTATGCTTCTATTAGCGTAAGTGAATTTCGTGGTATCTCCTCCTTAAGCCATTTTTGCATTTTACTGACTGTGGGAAGATCAACACCAAACAGTAGCTGCTCAGCCTGCGCGGTAGGAAAGAAACCCCACATTCCGTTGGCCGAAGCTCACAAGAGCGGCGCCAGTTTACTAGCGCCGTGTCTTTTCCGACACAGAGCCGTCAGACGGATCTTCCTCGCGCACCAGCCGCGTTACATCTGACGGGCAATTACAGCGGTCTTCACAGGGGCGATCTCGCTCGGCCATGACAAATGATACGTTGGCGGATGGTGTGACCTTTGTAGGGGACTAGTGCGTGGGCTGGACGATATTCGTTACGGACGCCGGCGTAACTTAGAAACGTCCAATTTCGCAACCATGCTCTGATGAGAATGAAGTCCCCTTTTGCACTGCCACAAGGCCTATTATATCATTGATATATATATATATATATATATATATATCATATCACTATTTATCATATCATATCATAATACCATACACAATCATTGATGCTGTTGTGGGCAGGTAACATCGTGTCAAAGTTGACAAAACACCTTATATAAGACCTCGGTAGTTCAATGGACATGCACTTACCCAAGATATTTGGTCACGTTCTTCTCTTTTTCCCGCCAAAAGCTTTCTGCGGACAGGAGAACATCTATTTCCCCTGACCATGGATGTCGATAACTCAAAGTGGCTGACGGGGGGGGGGGGAAAGTCTGCGAAA